AAAAAGGAGAGAAGGAATACCCTTCCATAATGGACAATAGTTTCATAGCAATGAAATGGGCCGTATTTGTGTAATATAATAATACCAACCAAATTTATAACCTACCTGTACCGACCGGTAAATTTCAGCTATCTGCCATCACTGCAGTGATCTGCCATTACTGGCGCCGGTAATACGGTGTGCAATATAAACTCTAAATTGGACTTGAAATGGCTTAAGTTTATAAATTTTTAGAAATATTGATATTTGTTAACTTTAATATTTGAAAATCTACAAGACCTATATGTATCCAAATGTAAACTCGCATTTTGTAAGATATTATCTATTATACATTGTTATTTTCATACAATCAAATAAAATGAATTTTTCTCTTCAAAATTGAGATTTTAATCATATAATAAATTCATGAATATGATGAAATAAATTATTACACAATATAATTACATGTATATATATTATATTTTATATCAATTAATATATTAAAATGCTTGAATGTCACTTACCAATATAAAACGAAGACACAATTACACTTTAACCTCTTTTAAAATTTATTATTTTCTTTTATTCCAAATTTATTAAAAATTTTATGTTAAATATTACAGTGCAATTTGGACATTCAGGAATACATCATTTACAAGAACACTTCATGCAGTGTTAACGCTTGTCTGCAATGACTATTAACAAACAATTTTGATAAAAAAATCTAGGTAAGAGGGGCATAACTCCAAAAATATAGCTTTCAGAATTATGCCCCTTGTCTAACAACTACACCTTGTCATCATAAACAAATGTTCCAGTTTCATACTCTTTAAAATGTTTTAAAAATTGGCTACAATAATGTTATTTGCACAACATTGACAACAACCACACAGCTATCATAATAGCCTAACATTTCTTTAAAACAAACAAGCTAAAAATCCAAAAACAAACAAATTTAACCGGAACATAAATCATCTCAGGGACGCCTCCGGGACAGACACCTTACTTACGGGACATTCCCCGACATCCGGGACATTATGGCATGTATGAAACAAGAGGACCATGATTGCCCTAGATCGCTCATGTGACATCCATAGCTAGGAAAGGTCACATTTTATCAATATAGAAGTAACTATATCACATGGGTTGTGTCATTGTTGAAGGGGTCACTAGAAAATACTAAATTCAAAGATCTAAGCTATGGACAGTGCAGTTTTCAACAAAATTTAATATATTTCCCTATCCAAGTCTATATAATACCAGTAAGTGTAAGACATGTATCAAAGTTACTACGTAGGAGGACAGTCTTCCCAACTATTACTAACAGTGCTAATGTTTGTTCTACATCACTGTAGCCTCTGTAATCAGTGTATCACAAATATCATCAAGAATGATGAATGTAATGATGGGGAAATCATTTAACCTTCAAGTCACCAGTATAAGGGTTGGAACAAGGCCAGTCTGCTCACATTTATCACACAACATCCATCGATGCTCAATTTAGAAAAAAAATTGACACAAAGATCCCTTATTCTACTAATGGATGGTTCTTAATGTTGGTGAAGTCCATTATGAAAATTTAGTGGAGTTAATCCTTTCAAGTGTCATCGTCTATTTCCTCTTCGTCACTAAAGTAAGCGTCTTTTTTATAACGTTTTCTTTTCGGCTCGCTGAAATCTTCCAATGAAATATAGTTGGCAGCTCGAGAACTAAAGCTTGTGCTGGGTAACGATTCCTCTTCAAGTTTGTTTTGCTGAAACAATAATAAATCTGTTACAATAATAATTAAGTACCGTACAGTTTCACAGTTAAGAAATAAATGTACACACTTAATCTTAAAGCAAAAATTGTTGCAAACACATTCAAATCAATAACCATAATCAAAGTTATTATTAGTGCCTTTAATATTCACAATGAATTTTATCTGGCTGAGTGGTAAAAGTTACTGACTACCAACCATTTGACCCTTACTGCTTTGGGTTCAAATCCCACCAGGGCCTTTGGTTCCAGTCATGTGAGTAAGCTATCCAGCTATATAGCTTTCAGAACGTAAGTGGTTCTACTGAGGCCCCTGCTCATGCATAAAATAATACAAGCAACAACAGGCATTCTATTGATAAGATGAGAGATTTTGATAAATTCTAAAATTATGTAACCAGAAGTAAAAATCCAGACAACATGGACTTTCAGGTGGCATGTGTAAGTTACTCCAGACACTATGAGGTACATGTGTATTTTTAGTGTACAAAACTATACATGCATATTTGCTTCTTGTGGATTGTAAAATATTCATTTTGTGGCCTAGAACGAGATATTTGTCAGTATATTTCATTGTAAGCTATTAGGGCATGCATGAAAATCATTGCCAAACCCATGAAATAATTAATAGCGGCATATTTTGTTCCGCAACAATTTTCATGCATATTAAATTACATAGATATTCTATGTTACGAATCTTTCAAGAAACAACCATACAGTATGGATGGTTATGAAAACAATATTGTTTTACTGTTTTTAAATCTTTATAAAGATTTTATCAGATATAGGCTTTATACACTATAACACAAGAAAACATAGTGTTAAATGGCATATTACCTGGTACTGAATGGCAGCAGCTAAGCTGTCCGCTTTGGGGTCTTCCCCTTCCTCATCAGAATCTGACTCTGATCTAAATAAAATATACAACAGAAATTTTTACTAAGTTAACATCAGCTTTGACTCTGATTTAATAAACCATACTACAGAAATTTACTGGCTTCTGTAATGTTTATAAAATATAGTTAATGTAATAATTAGAAAAATAAAGAGCTGAGAGAATAAATAATAACTACATCTACAAGGTTGTCTTTCTTCTCTTATCTAGGCATTATTTTAGTCTATAATTATGATCTGAAAGTGATACAGTGTTTGTATTCAAAGGGAAATAATTGCAAAAATTATTCTGAACTCTCTAAAAGGGGCAAGTGATTACTTACAAGTCATTAAAGTCGTTGTTTTCATCCCGTTCACGTTTCTTCTCTTTCTTTGTTTTCTTCGGCGGGGGTTCTCTTTCTCCGAGGATATTATGCGGACATTTATAACTCAGATGCCCTTCTTCCTAATCAATGATAAAAAGAAGTAAAACAAATTAAACAAGAGCTGTCGGTAGGACAGCAACGCTCGACTATTCTAAGTGCTTGATTGTAAAAAAAATGCTTGATACAGTTACCTCCTCCTGTTTGCAGGTTGGGGTAATGATGGTGAACAAGTGTGCAAAGTTTCAAAAGCATATGTCAATGGACTTTGAAAATATTTGAACTATTACAAAAACTTTAACGTAAATTCTAAGTCAAAAAAGGGGCATAATTCTGTCAAAATGCTTGATACAGTTACCTCCTCCTGTTTACAGGTTGGGGTAATGATGGTGAACCAGTGTGCAAAGTTTCAAAAGCATATGTCAATGGACTTTGAAAATATTTGAACTATTACAAAAACTTTAACGTAAATTCTAAGTCGAAAAAGGGGCTAAATTCTGTCAAAATGCTTGATACAGTTACCTCCTCCTGTTTACAGGTTGGGGTAATGATGGTGAACAAGTGTGCAAAGTTTCAAAAGCATATGTCAATGGACTTTGAAAATATTTGAACTATTACAAAAACTTTAACGTAAATTCTAAGTCGAAAAAGGGGCATAATTCTGTCAAAATGCTTGATACAGTTACCTCCTCCTGTTTACAGGTTGGGGTAATGATGGCGAACCAGTGTGCAAAGTTTCAAAAGCATATGTCAATGGACTTTGAAAATATTTGAACTATTACAAAAACTTTAACGTAAATTCTAAGTCGAAAAAGGGGCATAATTCTGTCAAAATGCTTGATACAGTTACCTCCTCCTGTTTACAAGTTGGGGTAATGATGGTGAACAAGTGTGCAAAGTTTCAAAGCCATATGTCAATGGACTTTGAAAATATTTGAACTATTACAAAAACTTTAACGTAAATTCTAAGTCGAAAAAGGGGCATAATTCTGTCAAAATGCTTGATACAGTTACCTCCTCCTGTTTACAGGTTGGGGTAATGATGGTGAACAAGTGTGCAAAGTTTCAAAGCCATATGTCAATGGACTTTGAAAATTTTTAAACTATTACAAAAACTTTAACATAAGTGGTTACGCCGACGCCGACGCTCGGGTGACTACAATAGCTCTACTTATTCTTATCGAATAGTCGAGCTAAAAACAAACAAACAAGAAAACACTTTGCACAACCCCTTTATATCATGTTTTATACAAAATGTTTCAGCTTAAAGCCATAAATTTGCTGGCTGTGGATTGTTAAATTATTGTTTATATTGTGTTTATATTGTGATTAATATAAGTACAGAATACCTAGAATGAATGAATTTGGTAAGTATATGTTATTTAAAGCAATAACGGCAGGTATCTTTTCCCACAGGTTGGGAAGCAGCCTCGCCCTTAATTTTGGGGGGAATTCATACAATTTATTTGCAAAAGTGGAAGAAAGATATTGATGTGAATTCAATTTTTTTGTGAAAACTGCATGATTTTGAAAAAAAATTTCTATGGGGAAGCAGCCCTATAACGACCTTTGGAAAAGAAGGAAAAAAGCTCTGTGCAGCATGCATGAAATCATCACAAAAACTACCTGTATCTGCTAAAACTTTAAAAGTAACTGCAGAATATTCCGTTTCCAAACATTTTCTTCTGTCTACGTACACTATTAATGTAAATTACTAAATTACTTAGACAATCTATGATACAAATTTTTCAAGAAAGACCATAAAATTATGAAAACAATACAATTGTACCGTTTTTAAATTTTTATAAAACGTTTCATCAGATATAGTTCTAAACATTTTTACACTTTTAACTTTCAGCCAGTTCTTTTTATGTAATAGAAATTCTTTTAAAATGATTATTTTATGAATAAAGCCATGAACAAATTAAATATCAACCTAAGATAATCATGTAAAAATCTTATAAATTTTCCAAAAAAATCATTAGACACTGTTCAATAATACTTACGCCACATTCATAACATTTAGATTTGTCTGGATATGTCTTTTTACGAATAAATTCTGTTGCACGACCATTGTCTTTTGCTATTGTACACTTAATGGTTCTTCCAAACAGCTGTAAAAAACAAAACACCTTGACTTATAAACTTGCAATCTTACTGCATAACTTGTCATTTATTTCAAAATTATGGAATTTATAGGTAAATTAAACAATTTCTCCTCTATTACTGAAGAAAACACAATTTATTTTTAATTGTTTTTATATTTTTACAATTTTGTGTACATTGTCTTTGGACATCTTTGTTATTTTCTTGATATCATTAAAGGTCAAATTCAAAGAGAATTTTCATTACTGATTTTACACTCATATCATCAAAAATTGCTTAAACTAGAACTGCCACTATCATGGCGTGAATACCCCCGCATACCACTTTGTCAGAATCAACAGTGGCCATTTAGAGCTCAAGGACAACCTCCCTGCCAAATCTGAGGTTACTAAGCCAGTGCATTGCTAAGTTATGTATTCTACATGCTTCAAATGTGAAAATGTCAAAATCAATACATTGCGGACAGGACATTCTTTAGCAATTGAGAAGAAAAGCTTTTTTTTTGTCAAGGTCCCTGTGACCTTGACCTTTGACCCAGTGACCTCAAAATCAATAGGGGTCACCTTATAGTCATGATCAACATCCATACCAAATATGAAGACTGTGGGTCAAAGGAATCTTAAGTTAATGGGTGGACAAACTTTTTGAAGTCAAAGTCCCTATGACCTTGACCTTTGATCCAGTGACCTCAAAATCAAAAGGGGTCATCTACTAATCATGATCATCATCCATGTCAAATATGAAGACTGTGGGTCAAAGGAATCTAAAGTTATTGGGCAGACAAAGTTTTTGAAGTCAAAGTCCCTGTGACCTTGACCTTTGACCTGGTGACCTCAAAATCAATAGAGGTCATCTACTGATCATGACTAACCTCCATGCCAAATATGACGACTGTAGGTCAAAGGAATCTTAAGTTATTGGGCGGACAAGCTTTTTGAAGTCAAGGCCCCTGTGACCTTGACCTTTGACCTGGTGACCTCAAAATCAATAGGGGTCATCTACTAATCATGACTAACCTCCATGCCAAATATAAAGACTAAGGGTCAAAGGAATCTTAAGTTATTGGGCGGACAAGCTTTTTGAAGTCAAGGCCCTGTGACCTTGACCTTTGACCTAGTGACCTCAAAATCAATAGGGGTCATCTACTAATCATGACTAACCTCCATGCCAAATATGAAGACTAAGGGTCAAAGGAATCTTAAGTTATTGGGCGGACAAGCTTTTTGAAGTCAAGGCCCCTGTGTCCTTGACCTTTGACCTAGTGACCTCAAAATCAATAGGGGTCATCTACTAATCATGACTAACCTCCATGCCAAATATGATGACTGTAGGTCAAAGGAATCTTAAGTTATTGGGCGGACAAGCTTTTTGAAGTCAAGGCCCCTGTGACCTTGACCTTTGACCTAGTGACCTCAAAATCAATAGGGGTCATCTACTAATCATGACTAACCTCCATGCCAAATATGAAGACTAAGGATCAAAGGAATCTTAAGTTATTGGGCGGACAAGCTTTTTGAAGTCAAGGCCCCTGTGACCTTGACCTTTGACCTGGTGACCTCAAAATCAATAGGGGTCATCTACTTATCATGACTAACCTCCATGCCAAATATGAAGACTAAGGGTCAAAGGAATCTTAAGTTATTGGGCGGACAAGCTTTTTGAAGTCAAGGCCCCTGTGACCTTGACCTTTGACCTAGTGACCTCAAAATCAATAGGGGTCATCTACTAATCATGACTAACCTCCATGCCAAATATGAAGACTAAGGGTCAAAGGAATCTTAAGTTATTGGGCGGACAAGAAAAAACCGACGGCCGGACGGACGGACGGCCGGACGGACGGCCGGACGGACAAGCTGATTCCAGTATACCCCCCTTACAACTTTGTTGTGCGGGGGTATAATTAACAGATAAAAGTTGTTTTCTGTCATTATTTTGAACTTGAAAATGATCATTTTAATGACTTTAACTGGCCTATTGAGTTTCTGATAAATGATATTAAATTATTTTAGTAGCTTTAACTGGGATTTGTACCCCAGTAACTTCCAATAAAGTTAACAGAAAAAGTCCACAGAAAACCAAATGATTCTAAATTTAGAATTTAAATTGGGGTTTTAAGTCCTTAATAAATGTAAATTTAACCTATCTAAATTAACTCAATTTAAACACAACATATACATGTATTTAATTTCTTATACAAAGACAACAGAGTATATTTGAGAACCCTGAATGATCATTTACCATCACATAATACATGTCCATGTATATAAATGAAGGATTGAATCTATAAAAGTGTATAAATGTATTGTGAAAGATAATTTACAAAAATTGATAACAAATAGTCGAGCAAAAAAAAGAAACCTGTGTATTGTTGAGTGCCCTTACAGCTTGGTAGGCGGAGTCTCTCTGTAAAAATAGTACAAAAGCAACGCCTTTGCTCTTTCTTGTAACTTTGTCTTTCACTACAGTAACCCTGAATTAGCAAACAATAGCATAAAATATTTGTTTTTTGATTAAATATGACTTTACTCACGAGATTGGATAGATTACTATCAATGGTAAATTGCATGTAAAAGCAAGACCAAAATAGGATCTGGACCAAATGCAACACATTTTTCCTGTGGAAAACTTATTACTTTAAATAAGAAGAAAGATCTAAACTGTTTCAATCTTCATCTAAAATACCATATCATATACATTTGTAAAACTTAAATGTTCTCAAAAATAACTCTAATTTGAACTGTAAGGTACATGAAAGTCTACCACTGTTTTCAGGTCCGACAGTTAAATTCAATGCAAAATTTTTCAACTACCAATAAAAAGAATCAAAAGAATATTAATTTGAAATTGATAATTTCAAGACAACACAAGTAAGTTTTGAGTTAAAGTGATATGAAACTCATAGACATGAAACTTTCAGAAATGACAAGTATGTATAAACTTTATCTACCTTTTTCACATGTAATAGTTTCTTATATATTGTAAGCCCTTTAACATAATTTCAAACAGCTTTCATTTACTTTAAACTTATTCTCCACTATTAACTATCTAAATATATAATATCAGGAATAGAAAATCAAACCCTGTCAAAAATAATTACTATCTTTTCAAATAAATCTTTGTCAAGAAATCTTTTTCAAAACTAACAGTTCCAAATCTGCATTACTGTCTATGATGCCACTGACCAGACACAAATGTTGTCATTTTTTTTTTACTTGCAATGAATTAAGTTTTTGTCAACTGTATTCAAAGTATTCTAAAGGACACAGATATCCACATATTCCACTGCAGACAACGGGATGGACAGACAAAGGAAAATTCAACCACCAAAAGAAGTGGGATCATAAAAGCAACTTGAAACCGAAACATGGTGGTATTTAAACGTACTTTTTACATATATATATATAACAATAAATACTTACTTCACCACTTTTCCGTACTTCTCAAAAATCTTATGCAGATCATTGTTGGTTAGGGAAAAAGGAAAATTTGACACATAGAGTGTACTTTTACTGGGTGCAATTCCCCCACTCATAACTCCACAAACATTCAGTGTTCTTCCTTTGAAAACTAATCTGAAAAAGATTCGAGAAAAAGAAAAGCTCCTGAAAATGCTTGTTTTTTGTTAATTTAGTTTCAAAACATTGTCAAATTTCTCACAGTGACTTGACTGGCAGAGCTACAGTTGTAAAACCTTCATAAATGTATACACAATTCAGACTGGTGCTAGAAGATGCTGCAAATACTGTAATATAGGGTATGACTAAATACCAAATATGAATTCATTTTCACGAATATGAAGAGAAAACCTAATATGAATATCATTTTCAAACTAGAAATGTGTCATCATGCCACAGATGCCCCCGCATGCAGCCAAAATTTCAGATGGTGCATTAATTATGTTTTTCATTTTAAGTTCAAAGCCCTTAAAACTTTTCAATGTTAACACAAACCATTTTCATACAATGTTCAAGGCACTGAAATTATTCAGTCTTAACCTTTTAAAAATAGCATATTGCATATTTGTAGCCAAAATAATGGCTAAAAGTATGAGTGCTGAAACTGAAAGTTCAAAATTTTTCCAACATTCAGGAAAGATAAGTTTGTCTAAAATCATTGAACCACGACCAAATTCAAACTTAAACTGCTTATTCCTAAGATGTATCTATATATTATTTTCAAAGTGAAAGGGACATAACTCTGCCAAAAAATCATCAAACCATGACCAAATTCCAACTTGACCTGCCCATTCCTTTGACATACATTGTATCCATATGTCAAATTTAAGTTGAATATGTAACACTGTTGGGTAGATAATGAACAGAAACTGTAAATTTTATATTATTTTCAAAGTGAAAGGGGCATTACTCTGCCAAAAATCATTGAACCATGACCAAATTTGAACTTGACCTGCGCATTCCTTTGATGCATCCATATGTCAAGTTTGAGTTGAATGTATTGTACCTTTGGGGAGATAATGAACGGAAACTGAAAATTTCATATTGTTTTCAAAGTAAAAGGGGCATAACTCTGCCAAAAATCATCGAACCATGACCAAATTCTAACTTGACCTGTATTTTTTTCATGACATATCCATATGTCAAGTTTGAGTTGAATGTGTTGTACCTTTGGGGAGGTAATGAACGGAAACTGAAAATTTCATATTATTTTCAAAGTAAAAGGGGCATAACTCTGCCAAAAATCATCGAACCATGACCAAATTCGAACTTGACCTGTATTTTCTCATGACATATCCATATGTCAAGTTTGAGTTTAATGTGTTGTACCGTTGGGGAGATAATGAACGGAAACTGAAATTTCATATTATTTTCAAAGTAAAAGGGGCATAACTCTGCCAAAAATCATCGAACCATGACCAAATTCGAACTTGACCTGCATTTTCTCATGACATATCCATATGTCAAATTTGAGTTGAATGTGTGCAACCATTCTTAAGATAATGAACAGAAACTGATGATGAATGACGGAATGACAGAAGGATGGAAGGACGGAATGACGGAACAGGGTAACACTATATGCTCCGGCCATTACATGGCGGGGGCATAAAAATTTTAGCATAGGGTCAATATTCACCTTAGTGAATAAAATTACAAGGTTCATTTTTGTCATTCTCATTCATATTAGGGTATCTTTCTGGTCACAGTAGTTTATTCAGGACTAAACGATCAGAAATTCATCTTCTTTCATTAAAATACATATGATACAAGTAAATAATAGTACATTTGTATCTGTTGAAAAAGTAAATTCCATGAGCTGATTTTATGAAAATTCATATTCGGTACTTCCATTCATAGTCGCAAATATGAATTCATATTCGGTATTTAGACATATCCCTGTATATAAACTGTTTTGTGGGCTACATCTTAAAAAATAAGTTGATATTTGTAATAAAGTGTTATTATTCTCATAAATAACTTGAAATTTTAAAGTACAGCAACAAGTTATTTTAAAGTATCCATGCTTGGTGATAGCCGTAAACCTTGCAAAATACTAATCAATGTACTATTATAAATGAAAGGGTATTAAATTTGTCTCTGACATAGTTTGAAAATAACAGAAAGTAAGAAAAATTACTGAACAGAGTTGACAGTTACAATCATGGTCGCGAAAACTAGTTATGTTCGGCTATTTTATTTATTGGAATGGATATTCGATCCGTCAATTTATAATATTGCTTACTTTTATGTATTTCAATTCTTTTTCAACTAAAATCGTGACATGACAAAGTGTATTCATTCAAAATTCGCAAAGAACGTCGTTCGTTTTTTCTAAAAAACAAGATTTAGTTTGAGTTACTTCCCTTTACAAGACTGTATCCAAAATCAAAACAATTTTCATTACGATTTTTGAGCAGTATTGTTGATACTGATACACAGTCAATATAAACTATTTGGATAACTTCTGTTATTTCCGATCACCGTGCGTCTACGTCAACTTTGACGTTTGTCGGATACAAATTTAGGGAGTTTCTTCGCTAACACTGTGTTTATGGACGACAATTGACATTGAACATACAACTATATCAAAAGTATTTTCTTTATCTACCTTGACGTTGTATTTTTTCTTATTGTCAAAGGATTTCACTTACTCAATTAAAAACCTGTTGCTCAAGTTATGGTCATTTCTATTTTCATTTCAGCTTTTTTGTATATAGATCTATTTGACATCATTTTTATATCAAGTTTTCTTCTCATAGAATCATTAAGAAAATAACCATGGCTAGTCCAACTAATTGTACTACAGGACAAGATATTGTGCTATTTTGTGTCTGCCAGTCTGGCCAATATCTTGCCTCATAAAAAGCGAGATTCTGACCCAGAACAAAAATATCTCAGAATCTAGCTTTGGCATGTCAATATATTTTGACTAATCCTTAGCATACTTCTATCAAAATTCTTAAAATAAATGGTCAGTAAATTGTAAGCTGCCCACACTGAGGTGCTGTGTCCTCACTGACATTATAGTACATACACATGTATATGTCATCTTGTTGTTCACAGGTTGTGAAAGCTATTTTTTTTTCCGTATTAAACAAGAATATAATAAAAATGTATGCCAACTGTAGTAAGAGTTTAAACAGTTTTTTTCTATTTTAATCGTCATGATTTTTTGAAAATTTATCCGTTTTTTTTTTATGATACAATCTAAAGATAAAAGTTGATATTCCAACACGCAATACAACTAGTGATCTATGGGTTGTCATTTGGACACCAAAATAAGCATACATTCTGAAAAGTATTTTGGCATATTGGACATCCTGTCCAGTCATCTTAGAAGAATCACTGAACGGTTTTCCCTGGACCAAAATGAAATCAGTAAACAAAGTATTTTTTTTTTACAATTTTATTTTCAAGAGTATATTCATAATAAATACATACACTCAGAGTCACTTATAACTTATGTCCTCCCAATTGGCTATAACAACGTAAACACCTCTGTCTCAGAGTTCTCCATTCTTAAACAAGGGCTTGCTTGAGTTCCAGCAAATTGCGAGGGGTTTCTGGTCTCATTCTCGCACGCCTGTTCTATTCAGCTGAAACTTGTAATGTTTAGATCTGGTGACTTGGGATGCAGGAGTTGCTGGCACTCAAGGAAATGGAGAAATATTCCTCAAGCTTTAATGAGAAACTATGTCATAATAATGAGACAGGTGTTTATACATTGTTAAAGCCGTGGGAGGACACACAAAGTATTAGAACTGGTTAACATACAGATTTAGTGGAGACGGTTCATTCTGTTACGATATTAACAGCCATTCTGAGATTTTTCTGATTGTGTTTATATGTATGAGCTTTGTTTGAAGATGTTTCAGCTTAAGAAAGCTTTAGATGCTTTTTGTCCATGGTTACCTCCTTCAAATTAATACAATCCACATGTTTTAAAGGTCAAGAAAACTAATGATAAAAGGGAGAGTTTATAACATTACTTTTCTGTGTTTTTATCCTAATAACTAGTAGAGGTAATTTTTTGATGGAAATTATGATGTAAAACATAAAACAATTGCCTAATTGTTTATTTTATTTCCAGATATTATTGTAATGTTAATGTATTTTTTTTAACCTTGTTGGAATTTTCCTGGACCAAGTGAAATTTTACCAGTCATGTTTGTCGGACCAGTATTTTTCGAACTGTTGGCATAAGACTGCTTATCTAGTCTTAAGTTTTTCTCCTGTCATATTATAAATGAGTTTAACTTTAATTTACTGTAATTTGATAATTTAATTAAAAATGATAATTTAGACATTTTCATTTTTATCTTTCAGAAGGTAGATACAGAAAGGAAGGAAATTTAGACAGCTTTAGTTTGGTTTTAAAGTGACAGGTCATTCTGTCACTATGGCTACAGGAGGGAATATGAAAGATCCGGCAGTTGCTAAGAAACTGTTTGAAAACCTGCAGAGTGATCTACGCTTACTGTCTACAGAGGGAAAGAGAAAACATCCCAATGTTAAAGAGGTAATGTCATTGATTGACTTGAAATATAGCTAGGTTTACTTCTCAGAAAATATTTATACATAACAGGTGTTATACACTATAAAAGTTTTAATATATGAGAAATACCATCAATAATTAAGAACCACTTACAATGGAATGAAAAAAGGCCAAACATCGATATGATTTATGATCATTTTTAAAATAATTATTCTGCTGTTAACAGACAGTCTTATTTACTTACTTTGTTTAATGGTTTATAACAGTCAAATAAATGTGTGTTCAAAACATAAATGCTGAAGCAAAAGTACACGCAGATTTTTACTGTCATCCTTTAGGTTGATATGTATAAAATTTTGCTGAAAACCTGCTAAAAATACTTTAACTTTATCTAGAACAAGGCAGTTTGAATAATATTACCTTGACATTTACTTATTTTGGTTCTTTTTTACAGGCTTCAGAACAAGTTCAGCTTAAACTTAGAACAATATCAGCAAAAACAGAGGATGCTCTTTCAGGTAAACAATTAAATCAACATTTTAATTGTGAATAATTGAATATTCTTTCCTGTTAAACTATGGGGAATATTTCAGGTGCCAGAGATATGTCTTAAGATAGTAGTGGGAAAGAATTAAGTATGTCATATAATCATATTCTTTTCTGTTTAACTATGGGGAATATATCAGGTGCCAGAGACATGTCTTAAGATAATAGTACCAAAGAATTAAGTATGTCATAATTGTTTTTAATCATAATACTTTCTTTTCCTTAATTGCTAAATTATCCAGGCTCTTGTCTTACTATTAAACAGTAAGAATAATCAAGCGTGCTGTCCCACTGACATCTCTTGTCTATGCAGTGCAGTATGGTTTGCAATACTTAATGTATTTCTTTTATTTCATTTACAATTCAACATATTTCGTGGCACAGACACAGGAGTTTTATTTCCTGTATGTTGTTTTTCACATATTGACCTTGACATTTATATTTCAGGTCTAGTGTCAGCAAGTGCAGATATTTTACAGCCATTTATGTTAGGTTGTGAAACAAAGAATGTGAAGTTGATTCAGATATCTCTTACTGCAGTGCAGAGATTGATCTCACATGAGGCAATATCTATTGTAAGTTCAAATACCAAATTGTATATTCCTATCTTCTGCTAATCTTAACTTCCTGTCTTCTGCTAATCTTAACTTCTTGTCTTCTTCTAATCTTAACTTCCTTTCTTCTGCTGCTAATATTATCTTCCTGTTTTCTTTTCTTCCTTCATATGCTTAGCTTAATTTCTTGTCAGCTACTTGTCTTGTGCTAATATTAACTTTTGTCTTCTGTTGATCTAAACTTCCTGTCTTCTGCTTATCTTAACTTCTTTTCTTCTGCTGCTAATAGTATCTTTCTGTTTTCTAATCTTTTCTTCCTTCATATGCTTAGCTTAATTTCTTGTCTTTTACTTACTAACTTAAACTTGTCCTCATCTGCAAATATAAACATCTTGTCTTCTGCTAATCTGAACTTCCTGTCTTCTGGTTATATTTTATTCCTGTCATCTGCTTATCTTAACTTAATGTCTTCTGCTAATCTTGTCTTCTTGTCTGCCGCTAATATTATCATTTTGTCTTGTGCTAATCTTCTCCCTTCATCTGTATAACTTCCTGTCTTCTGCTCATATTAACTTTTTGTCATCTGTTAATATTAACATCTTGTCTTTTGCTAATATATACTTCTTGTCTTCTGTTAATGTTAACTTTTTGCCATCTTTTTTGTATTCCGTATATTTTTACTTCTTGTCTTCTGCTTATATTAACTTCTTGTCTTCTGGTCATTTAATTTTATCTTCACCCTAATTAAAACTTCTGTCTTCTGCCAATCTTAACTGCCTGTCTTCTGTTAACCACATATATAAAACTTGAAATAAACTGTAAATCAATATGTAAATTAAGCTGGACTCATGATCCATTTTGACATAGTATAGAAATTTCATTCTTCTGGAGATATATGATTATTTTAAACTAAAGCCTGTTATGAATATTATTGTTTATTTGTAATGCAGAAAGCAGCAGACAATATTTTGACTTTACTGTGGGGACTGATGGAGGGTGGACAAGAGGAGCTTAAACTGTTACAGACAGCCATCTTACTGATAACTACAAATTTTGTTGTGCAACATGAATCATTAGCTAAGGTAAAAATTGTAATAGGAAAGTTTTTATCCCCCCCCCCTTCACTGAGATTGAGTGCTGGGGGATATGGTTTTGTTCTTGACCTTCTGTACACTATGGCAACATTTGAATAGGTAAAAGTAAATTTCCACATGCTATTTATACAGTTTAAACTGTTATGAAGCTACTCTTTCTCTTACATGCCAAATGACCTATACTGTGTCAGTGTGACGTAAAACCCAATCAAACAAACAAACAACATGACATGGGTAGGAGAAAAGTAGGGAGAGAAAAAAGAGTAGCCACTTTAAAGTACCAAATCTTGAGGACCTCTGTCCAGCTGTCCATCCATTAGCCGACAAAATAGTCCAATGTTAGGGCATCCATGTCCTACCGACATATTTCTAGTTCTTGTTCATAAAAATGATAAGAAAGTGTCAGTTGGCATAATCAAAATAGAAATTTTATGTAGGTAAATGGCATAATTAACTGAAGAAATTCAAAGTTTTGATAAAGATTAAAAAAAGGTTTTTTAAAGATCAGACATACTCATCTGTGGGCTTTTATACAACATGCAAATCTTTGACTGAACAAATATTTGGCTGAAAAAATCTTTGGCTGAACATGTCTTTGAAGGATAAAATACTTCAAAGAAAATGTTTTTGTGTAATGTGCATACATGTAGCTATAAAGGTATGTTAGAGTTGAAGTAAATTCACTTGTCTAACTGATGTGATCTCAATGTGAAGATGAAGTAAGTTCAGGGAACTCTGGTTTGATAAATTACACATCATTTAAGGTGACAACAGACACTTTCCGTGGTACTCACATAAATGTCATTTAAACAAAGTTATTTTAGTAATAATTGTTATTTACTTAATCTTTGTGCATTAAATGTCGTTGATCATCATAAAAAATAACATATTTGAAAAAAATGCCTTTGTAAATGATTGATTTTGAATAAAAATCCTAAAATTTTAAATCGTCATATCAAAGTCATTTTTAGCTCGACTATTCGATAAGAATAAGTAGAGCTATTGCAGTCACCCGAGCGTCGGCGTCGGCGTAACCACTTATGTTAAAGTTTTTGTAATAGTTCAAATATTTTCAAAGTCCATTGACATATGGCTTTGAAACTTTGCACACTTGTTTAACATCATGACCCCAACCTGTAAACAGGAGGAGGTAACTCTATCAAGCATTTTGACAGAATTATGCCCCTTTTTCGACTTAGAATTTACGTTAAAGTTTTTGTAATAGTTCAAATATTTTCAAAGTCCATTGACATATGGCTTTGAAACTTTACACACTTGTTCACCATCATGACCCCAACCTGGAAACAGGAGGAGGTAACTCTATTAAGCATTTTGACAGAATTATGCCCCTTTTTCGACTTAGAATTTATGTTAAAGTTTTTGTAATAGTTCAAATATTTTCAAAGTCCATTGACATATGGCTTTGAAACTTTGCACACTTGTTCACCATCATGACCCCAACCTGTAAACAGGAGGAGGTAACTCTATCAAGCATTTTTTACTATCAAGCACTAAGAATAGTCGAGCGTTGCTGTCCTACCGACAGCTCTTGTTTAATTTTTTGTCATCAAACTTTTGGAAAATAACCATACTTATATTATCTAGGGAACCGTGTCTCAAATTTTTTCTATCTTTTCTCAAAAAAATATTACGTAACGTCAAACATTTTATGCGTCTTTTTTCACCATACATATTACGTGATTAAAGATAATTAAGTCGCCTATTGAGCAAACAAAAATCCCTGACACAGTTCCCTCCGTAAATGAATTTCCTTTCATGTGCTTTAAACCGCATGTTAATTGCTTATTAAAAAAGTTATGCCGATTCAAAGTTAGTCCGACCCGCATCAAACGAAGTGTCATAAATCGGCTGTGCTCTCTCGGACCCCTACGTTTCACGCTAAATAATTGCATAATACACAAATATCGCACCAGAGAGGGTCACAAGTTGCGGTAACATACTCTAACAACATTTTATGACCCAGTGACATCTGACCAATTAAAAAGCTGCTGATTAATATCAGTTTATAGCCGAAATTTCTTCAATTCTTAACGTGATTTACTGTCCGTCTGGTATCTGTCGCACATGTCACGTGACTATCGGTAAAATTTAAGGCACTCAGTGGGGGGAAATGGAGCGCACCGCTAGCGGGGTATTTAATTGTTTCACTTTTGAAGTTTATTATTATTATCATCAGCATTATTATTGTATTATACCAGTGTCACTCTGCCTGTGTATTCGTGTATGAAATTCCGTTAAAATATAAAATAAAATAACAAAAAACTAAGCTTATGACAGTCTTTTCAAGTCCATGGTAGATGTACAAATAAGAACGGGATATTATATATTTTTTCCACCAAATTGATAATGCTTCACATATTTTAATAGAAATAAAAGGTATTACTCGATCATTATGATCTGGCCTTCTTGACTTCTATTATGAATATCATCTATGCACGGCATAGAGATCCAGTTTCTACCGGGATAGACAATAAATTTCATACTTTGTCCCAGATTTATTAGTACTGTGTCCGATTTACTGGTGAACAATTTATTTTCACTGAGAATATATTTTAATATCTTTTTTTTATTTATAGAGAAATAATCATCCTTAGACAATCTAAAATGGTTTAGAAACTTGTCAGGGACACCTTACCACAAGTCACATAGGCATTCACATAAAAAAAATGTTGTCTGTTTTTGTTGTTGTTTTACTTGACATTGTTAGAAAACGAGGTTGAATGTAAAGTAAGCCCTTCAATCCGTACAAAAGTCTATCAACTCAACGTAATATCTATCAGATTAACGGGACAGACAAATTATTTTCACACATTATGGATATTTTAGCAACTACATTTTTAATCAACCCCGTGGTCGTGCGATTTGCCGCTATGCTTAATTATAATGTTTCATACATTATGTTACGTACATTGGCCGACAATTTCTTAATTTATAAAAAAGGCTAAATGTTGAGATATTCATAAAAGATGTACGTTAGTTGTACGATACATGTATTACGAGAAGTATGGACCAGTATGGACCTGTAATTCACGGATATATGGAACTACCGATTTCCCTCATTGATGCCTCAACAGGGGGCGGAGCGTTATCGATAATCGACAGGTTACGCGAATAGCAGATACAAATAGTATAGGTTCCGTTTTAAAACGTTTAAAAACACATTTTTTGGACTAACTGCTTCCAAAATTAAATCACGGATGTGTTCAGAAAAGGTTGATAATCTACTTAGCAAAAAATCTCATTTTAGGTATTTTCAGTGATAATTGACTCCGTTGTCACCTTAAATGGGTTTCCATGAATATTTAAGATTTTTATAACCAAGTCAGATGGCCTAGTGTCAAAGTGTCTGTCTCTGATCAAGGAATCATAGGTTTGAGCCCTACTGGAGCCGGGACCATGCATCTCCATATGACACCAGTACTGAATATAGTTCAAGAAAGCTGACATGGGAGTGGTTCAAATATATTTCAAGCTTTCTTCACTGTTAAGATAAAATAAACAATTTAAAAAAAAAGTAAAGAAAAACATGACAAAATAAGAAAATATGTAAATTTCTTCCAACAGGCAATGGTGTTATGTCTCCGGCTACATTTTACGAAGGACAGTACGACCAACAATACAGCGGCAGCAGCCATCAAACATCTTGTCAGTATAGTGTTTGAACGTGTCATTGCTGAAGATAAGATTCATTCACAAGGTAACTTTTACTTTAAAGCTGCATTTAATAAATTTATTAAATGCAGCTTTAAAACAGCTCATCTCCAGATTCATGTTAATTTTTATGAAAATTTACGAAAGTGCCTTAATAACGAAAAATGTTGATTTGTGCAAAAATAATAAAAAAATGTTTTTAAACAAGCAGCCAAATTCTGAAATCAAAAATCAGGTAATAACAGTAACATACATGCAATTTTAAAAAAGTCTGCATATTTGGTATGTTTTTACAAAAAATCATGACATGCTATGAAAATCTTTGTCAAATGATTTAGTAAACAATATTTTTTGTAAAGATTTATGATGGTAAGTTTGGCTCTTAATATATCTTTAAATGAACATTAATATCGAATTTTAAAATAAATACTGTGCAACCTCTATATGAAAGCCTTATGTGGAGAAATACCCTCATTATAACAACAATTTCAGCTTTTTTGTAAGTCATAATAAATTTTACCTTGCTAGTGTAACACCTCTTGATAGCAACCAAAATCTTACCTTTCTCTTCAGAAGGTTTTTGATCTAAAGAGTAAAATAACATAGTGTCACAGGGTGAGAAAAATGTGCAGCCTGAATGGGACTCGAACCCGGGACCCTAGGAATACTGTTCTGTGGCTCTTCCAACGGAGCTATCCATCCACTTACACATTTTCTCCCCTGGTTAGTAAAAAGTTCTGAACTTTGACATAGCATAATTTTTTTCTACACATTTAAAATTTAGAAAAGTTGGAGAGTATGTCAGAGGAAGAGTTGAAGAAAGGGACAAACAAGGCACCACACTCCCTGAGACCATGTGCTGGCGATGCTTATCTTCTTTTCCAGGTAAAACCATAGTGTATAGTAAACATTTTTACCTATATTATCTCTCTTACAAATTGTCTGGGTGCTTAACACATGGGATTTGGCGGAGGCTTAATTTGCAAGAGGCGTAATTTTATAATGACAGCTGATCTTGGACATTGAGTCTAATAATTATTTGTGCCTCACCATTGTTAGAAATCATGTGGAAAGAAATTAGATGTTACTAGTTAGTTGTCCAGGAAAGCCGTTAAGGTCAATCAACCACTGAGATATGACAAAAATGTGTTCAAATGGATGTTTAAATGATCCAGAACAACAAACAAACATATTTTAGATGTGAGTTCACACTTTGCAAAATTTGCAAAATCACTGTAGGTGTTTGAGGGTATTATATTAATTTCTTTGTAAGATAGTTGTCACAAATTTGTATCACACTGAGCGGATGTTTTAACAAATATATCTGTATCTTTGTGTTATGAATAAGAAATGTTTGTAAGAATTTGAATATTTTATCCACAACTGTTACTATACTAGGTATGTTGTTATATTTTACAGGATTTATGTCAGCTAGTGAATGCTGATCAGCCATTCTGGCTTGTTGGTATGACAGAAATGACAAGGACTTTTGGACTGGAACTTCTCGAGTCTGTACTGTCTGCCTTCCCAATGATTTTCTCAAAGGTATTATTTATTTCCTTCATTCAGACTCAAAAGCCTTATTGTTCAGTTTCACCTTTCAAGAGTTTGCTAGTATTAGGATTGATCCCTGTGTATAAAGAAAGATATAAATATAGTATCCATACGCTCAGGAGTTCAATAGAACACTTCTGTTGTTTCCTTGTAGTAGCTTGCTCAGGCAGAAACACAAATTGGTATATTGATATAGGTAAAGTTGCTGACATTAATAGGTAAATCAAATAAATTTAATTAAAATATTAGCTCATTTTTCTCAGAATTCTGAAGTATTAGGAATAGCGGGTTTAATTACCAACCAAATAATTGCATAAAAGTTATTTTCCATGACCCAGGATTGTTGGATCTTGAGAGCATATGGTTTTTGGTCTGTTTGTCTGTCACAAAAAATTAACTTTGACCTTAACAAGGAAGTCCTTTCATATACAGCCGCAAAACAGCTAGCTCTACCTGCCAGACCCACTTAGAGGTCACAGGGTTAAAGGTCAAGGTAACTCCGCTTGATCGGTCATGAAATTAACTGATTATTTTCATTTAAGTATTTTTATCCTTTTTTAACAGCACAAAGAATTCAGCTTTTTACTGAAGGAGCGTGTATGTCCACTAGTGATTAAATTGTTTTCTCCAAGCTTGAAGTACAGACAAGGTATTCCATCACCACCATCACCAATACCTGCAGAGAAACCATTCTTCCCTATAGTGATGCGTCTGCTACGTATTGTATCATCACTTATACAGTTTTACTATAACTTACTTGTAAGTATAACATGACTTTAGCCTTGTCTTTGTTATTGTTTGGTTTTAAGTCATATCCAACACTGTAATGGTCTTAAGGCAAATTACCAGGTTTGCTGGTGGAGGAAAAGGTCAGGTGACCCTGTGTGCATTATTTCAGGCACTAATTGGCGTCTCTTACATTTGGTTAGCTAGTTTGATAGCTTCCTCACATGAAAGAATTCAATGTTGTCGACTCGTCGACGGGATTTGAACCAATAAAATTGAACCTTGTATATGTTAGTGGAAAAGAAAGCCTCTGGCAGAGTTGTTATGGTCATTGACTACAAATCACTGATCCTTCAGTAATTATCAAAGACGAATTTAAATACTGTAAGGGGTGTTGAATTCTTTTATGTCCGGAAGCTTATGGAAGTTCAGCAGCCTGGCCCTACTTGTACTTTGAATTTACCTTTACAGCCACTTGACATCTTCCTCAGCTGTTATAAGCTGGAATGTGGCCATAGCAGCTTAACAGTGTCAAAGTGACTTAAAACCTGACTAAAATGACTTCTGTAGCTTTGTATTAAGAGTTATTTTCTTCTAGTTTTAATTTTTATTTGCACTTTTGACCTTATAACAAACATTGTATTGCTTCATTAATTGTGTTATTGAATACAGTAAAAATGGGATACTGCCCGAAGGTGACCAAATGTCCGGTTTTCAGAGGTTTTATACATTTATTGATCATTATGATGTGTTTTAACATTGACTTGGTTTAAATCTTTTTGTATTAACTTTTCAATACTTTTGTTATAGTTATATTTTAATTTCTTTTTGTAATAAATGTCTTGAGTAACAATGTTTTGCAAATTCAGAAATATAATTCAGAAAATTGGAAATTAAAACAAAACAGTATCTATGGTAAATGATATTAATGATGAAAAATAATTCAGATTTATAAATAAAGATTTATGTTAATATTTCAGACTACAGAATGCGAGATTTTCCTGTCATTGTTGGTGAAATTTCTAGAACCAGAAAAACCTACCTGGCAAAGATGTCTTGCCTTGGAAGTTCTGCATAAACTTTTTGTTCAGGCAGAATTGGTCAAGTGAGATTCATTTCTATTACTTTAAATATAACTTAAGATTTTAAACCTAAAACTGCTAAATGTGTGTATTGAATTTTGAACAGTCCATTCAGAGTTAAAGGGATTTCAGTACTATGAAATTGAGCCACCAACAGATTTAGCAGACATATATATCGATATATAATAATATGGAAAATATTGCCCTTCAAAGATTTAAAAAATCTGAAAAGGTATTCATTGAATTCTATTTTTAGATCATTTTGTTTGAGCTATGACATGAAACCACATTCAACAAAGATATTCCGGGATATGATCAATGGTATAGGGGCGTTTATTCAGTCACAGTTCATGAATCCACCAGGAGGACCTGCTGCCCAAGGTATACATGGTTCTTTATAATTTTGAGTTTGCTCAGTGACTAGCACAATAATCCATAGTTATTTTATATAAACATTGATCTTGGACACTGAGTCTGTTGTTCATTTGTTTCTTACTACTGATTCAAAAGTCATCTAAGATTAGTAGTTGGGCATTTTCAGGGATATTGGTAATTACTGGTTAGATATCTAGGAAAGCTTGTTAAGTGGACCAATTAACAAGATATGGCCCAAAAATTTGTTAAAATCAGCATTACACCCTCTCAGCTTATGTAGGGACAACTTTAACTTGAGCCATGACATTTCAGTCTGTTAGCTAAAATCAAAGCTTTGATACATTATACATCTGAAAATAAAGCTTCATTTTGATATATTGATGTTGTAAGACCTTGACCCATAAATGGCCCCGACACTGACCTTCTAGCATAATTGAGTCTTAAAACATTGAATACATGTATTTTCAAAAAAAGCTGAACAGGGATTTAAAATTTCTGAAACATTTTCAAATGTCTGATAAAAATTGACTAATTTTTTTAGACAATCCTGTGCTTTCTGAGTTATATTTTTGTCAAATAAAGAACCATTATTTTGAAGAAAAAAAAAATATATTTTTAGAAAAATATGCTCTCTCTGTATTATTAGCACCAAAACCAGGAGATATTCAGGGCAGTCCACCCTCATTGGTTGCTGGAATGCCAGTTGGGGGCGGAGTCTCACCACAGCCCGCCTTCATGTACAGAGGGGTGTGGATTCCTCTGATTCTTGTCATTCCACAGGGGCAGACTAGACCTACATTGTAAGTAATTCTTTGTCATCATTAGGTTTTCCAGAATTTGCAGTTTCACTACAAATCCTTGAAGGTAGTAAGAAATATTGACCTTGTTGAAGGAAAAGTTTATTATCTATAACCCAAATTTTAACTGACAATATTTAAAGACTGCCAGCTAAATACAATTTTTAGAACCTTTATAGCAAATTAAATGGAAATCAGTTTTGAACAAGGTTTAGTAAAGAAAACAGATGCTAATCTTAAGGAGGTATTTTTGTTGTTGTTTGGTTTTTAACCTCACTGACATTGCAAAGGTCTTGTAGTGACCTTAAGTGACACTCAATGTAAGGGCAGTCAATTGTGAAGCATCGACACTGACTTTGTTGGCTATATAGTTTTGTCATATGAAATTATCCGATGTCTCTGTTGGGATTCCTACCCACAGTAGTGTGAGCAAGTGGTAGGTAGATATTGGCCATAACCACTTGACCATGGAAGCTTTCATAAGTCAAGTTTTACTGAATAACCTACAAAATGGTCAATGCAAATTCTAGCTGCATTAGTTTAAATGCTATTTTCCATTTCATCTTAGTTGCAGTTTGTACTTTTTGGGAGGAAAATGACTTTCTTGTTTGAAAATGTATCCTTTAACTTCTGTGAAAATCCATTTTTCATGTTTAGTTATAAAATAATTTTTCTTGATCATATTTTGATTTTGTTTTGTATTATAAAAATAGACGCCCTTTATGTTGTTCTTGTAGAAAGCATAAACAGTTTTGTTGGTGAGCAAGACAGTTAGATCTTCATAATCAAGATTATTCTATTGTTAAATTTACCAATATTTTCATATTAGTTGTTTTTCTCTAGATGGAAATAAATTTTCAATATTGTAAGATTGAAATCCCAATAGGTTTTTATTTCATGTTTTTAAATCATCAGTTAAAATGGTAATCAAAATTACTTATTTCAAATTATTTGAGCTGTCAAATTGGCTTTTTAAATCACTTATTTACTTTTTTCTATCTAGAGAATCTAAGTATAATGAAAATATTTTGGAGTGTTTTTTTCTTAACCCTTTCAATACTATAAGCAATAAGGATTTGCCTATACTGTCTGTGTAAATTCAGCTAGACTCCAGTTTTTTTTTTACCTTGTATCTGATCTTGACTTTAGTTCATATTGAAAAACCTTGAAAAAACAATGGACTTGTCCATATATATTGAAAGCAAGGCAAATTCATTATACAAATTTAGCAATGAAAGGGTTGAAGAAAAAAGCTGTGTTGTGTTTCAAGTTCACATTTTGTTTATATGGATTTTATACTGATTTGTTAGTGTTACATGGACCCTATAATTTGAAAGACAAGACAAAAATGTGATTTTGAAACACATTTGGACTTTAACTTACGCTGGTGCCATGTTTAATATGAGCTTTATATGCTTAAGAAAGTTTTACAAAAATATATGCAATGTAGAAATCACAGACATAGTTTAGTATGGTTTTTGGTCAAGGTTTCTGGTTTGGTTATATATCAAGAAAGATTGCTAGGGTGTGGTTCAAGTCATGCAAACACTGTAAAGGTCAACTTGTGACTTTAAGACTTAACTGGCGGAGGAAGACATCAAGTGCCAATGAGTAAAGTCATCAATGTTCTGTAAGCTAAATCAAGGGTTTAGTTTAATACAGCTGTAACTCATATAACATAATGGAGGAGTTACATCCATTTCACACCAATCCATCAACATGTATCTTGATAGCAACGTCACATCAAAGAATCAAAATTTGGTATTTGGGGCTTTGAGCGATACAGGTTGTTAAAAAATACATTTATCATTATGCAATATTCCCTGTAATTATATCATTACCAAATCTGTCTGTTTTGATTTATAGTTCTGTCAAGGTCATCTTTGAAGGTGAAAGATCAAACTTTACAGCATGATTTTTTGCTTGTCAAGGTCATCTTTGAAGATTGGAGGTCAAACATAAAAACATGAGCTTTTGCTCGTCAAGGTCATTTTTGAAGGTGAAAAGTCAAACATAAGGGCATGATTTTTTGTTTGTCAAGGTCATTTTTGAAGGTGATAGGTCAAATGTATTAACAGGATTTTTTAACTCATGGGAATCTAATACATGAAATATCTTCAAATATTTTACATGAACAGATTTTGCTTACTTTCTTATGACAATTTTCTGTAAAATAATTATTTTTATCTAATACTGTTTACTTTTGTAGTAGTAACCTAGGTGGAGAAGTACCAAAAGACGCCTTTACCTATGTACTGTCCTACGACAAGTACATGTTTAGGTATTGAATGAATTTTTTGCTAGTGCATTCTGGGATGCCCTCTGTGCTAAACTGTTAATGGCTATTTGTATAACTATTTAATAATTGTTTTGGCATTTTGGTTTGAAGTTTATGGATTTAACCTGTTTTTATGTGACAGCTGAAAATATTTAGCGTTTCAACCTGTGTTTTTTGTTACCCATATACAGGTATAGCTTTCTGTAATTGGTCTTCAAGTTGACTGCATGTGTAACTTCTTTAAGGCATTAGATGACCTTGTGGTTTAATGTCAGTCTATCATTCAAGGGATTTTGGGTTTGAGCCTATCTAATGTCATGACCATGTTAAATCATTAATGTCATCAGAACTTGTTAGTCGAGGATATGGACTGAAAGTGTAAATTTTGTCCTTCACAATCACATGTAAATAATTATCTTAAAATATTACATTTCAAATGATACAATAGTCTATTGTTATATTAATTTGAATTGATTTTGACATCTATTGCAATCCAGTTCATCAACAACTTTAAAGGAACTCCACTGAGGTCCAAAAGCCTAAAACATAAAATTAGAATATCTTACATACCAATAGATCTACTGGTGCACTTAAAATGGGAAAATATGAATAAGATAAAAAAAGAAATACTCTAGGAATGAAATTTTCAATGAATGTTTTGTGAAATTCTTAGCCTGATTTGATAAAAAAATTTCATTTTATGTCATTTTACATATTAAAAGTGACTATAATGATCTGAAATTTTGCACACTAGTTATTGGTATAACATTACATAAGATTATATAAAATGTTCTGGTCAAAATACCACGGCAGTGCCTTTTTAAAGGTACATGTTTTAGCTTTTGATGGATATTTTTACAATTTTGTAAAATACAAACACAAAATTTGATATTATCTGAAATTATGGTACAAAGTATTGTAAAGAAATTGAATGAAAAAATTAACCAGATTTTTTGCCTGGATATTGTTGCTTAGAAAGCATATTATAAGCAAGAAAAATCCTGTTGAAATAAGTATGATAAGGCATTTAACATTTGATGTAGTAATATTTGAAAATAATTTGAAAAATTCAAGACTCACTGTATAGAAGATAATTATGATTTTAGTTTACTGTGTAAAATTTTACTTAGCAATTAATTTTCTTTTACTTTATAGCAACATTAATTCCCACTGCAGTTTATATTTGCACACATTGATTAATACTTGTATAGAAGTGATTGCTTGATTGATTGATTGATTAATTGATAAATTTGTATTTTAGGAAGAGCTAATTGATTGAATTAATTTTTGTATAAGACTAAATGCTAAATTGATTGATAAATTAGTTTTATAGCAAGAATTAATTCTAGTATTAAACTGAATGATAAATTGATTGATGAATTAGTTTCAAAACAATGATTCTTGTTGCAGACTGAATACTAGATTGATAGATAAATCATTGTAATGGCTATGATTAATTATTGTATTAGACTGAATAATAAATTGATTGATAAATCAGTGTTATGGCTATGATTAATTCTTGTATTAGACTGAACACTGAATTTATTGATAAATCAGTGTAATGGCTCTGATAGACTGAATATTAAATTGATTGATAAATCAGTGTAATGGCTATGATAAATTCTTGTATAAGACTGAATGCTAATTTGATTTATAAATCAGTGTAATGACTGTGATTAATTATTGTATTAGACTGAATACTAAACTGATTGATTATCATTGTAATGGCTGTGATTAATTCTTGTATTAGACTGAATACTAAATTGATTGATAAATCAGTATAATTGCTGTGATTACTTTTTGTATTAGACTGAATACTAAATTGATTGTTGAAGTAGTTATATGGCCATGACTAATTGATTGTATGATTAGATTGTGTGCTAAATTTATTGATTAATTAGCTTCATGATTTAATTTGGCTGAATTGATTAGTTTCCTTATTAGTTTTATAGCATGAGAAATGCTAAATTAACAAACTAATAGTAATTATTATAATTTAGAATCATGCAGTCGTATATCAGATCCACATGTTGCATTCAAGACCTTATTGTAAAAAGGTCAAGGTTAGGGTAGTTCTATAAATAGCACATACAGTACCTGCTTTTGGGATTGCTAAATGCATTAATGTTTCATAGTATGCAATTTTCTAGCCCTGTTCCTCATTAGCTCTTACCTTCCTGAAACAAAACAGTAATTTAAGCCTTTGCAACCAGTCTGACCAAATTTCTATTCTTTTGACTGATCAACTTCAAATTTTCACCTTGATATCCCCAAAATCAATAATGGATAATTCCAAAAAACAATGGCAGCTGGACATGTTCATTTATTAATTTCAGCAGGTTAAGAGTTAATGAATTTTATGTTGAGTACTTTTCAGAAAATTCAAATGAGTGTGTGGCAAAATGAAATATGAATATATTATATGTATTAAGTGAAGTATATTAAGAATTCTTGTAAAAATATTTGTCAAGACATTGTATTTATTGTTATTGTTTTTTTTTTCTTTTCAGTATTTTGTTTTTAAAATAGCTTTTAAGCCGCACACCTCCAGATTTGTATTAATGATTACATGTATATTTTTTTTGTAATGGCTCTCATTGTTATTGAGTGTACTAAAAAAGTACTATTTATCAAGGGGCTTTACTACTCTAATAGACTACCTAATATTTAACATTGTCACCTTAGTGCAGTAATGGGTTAAGTCCTTTGGAGTTAACCAGTCATTGCACAAAGATGACAAGTCATGTCAATTTTCTAGGCAGAAATAAGGTGATAAGATCTTGTTACATAATTATTATATCACCAAAAAATGCCAAGTGTTTCTTTAAGTTAGATTGTGCATGGTTTCACTTTCTTAAAATGTTGATACATTTTTTTCAAGTTTGGAGGTTTGCTGCTCCTCTTTGTTTGTGGTTAAGTCCCACCCACTTAAATTAAAAAAGAACAAAACAATTGGGCAATGGCATAGTCCAGGCTGGGTATTTGATTTGATTAATATTGGGTATGGTATTTGAAAATTAAAGCAACTTGTCTCCAGATGTACACAAAAAAGTAAGACTTCACAATAAATTTAACCTCTCTAAAGCAATACCTCTAATCAACAACGAAAATGTTGGTCTCTCGAAGGGTGTTTGCTTTGCAGAGGTAATACCGTGCCCAAAATGCATCTAAGCAGTTACTCCTTTAATTTAGTTAAAAGTGTAATAGGCTAAAGAAGTTATGTAGTAAAGTCAGTCATATTTTGCATACAATTTAAAGCATCTCATAAATATTCATATATTTCTTATCTCATGAATATTTAAATCTGTTTCCTAGTTTGATATTTTTATAATTTGATTACTCTTCTGGATGGTTGCAGCTTTAAAGTTTTAATGAAAAAGTGAACTTTTTTCTTTATCATTCTCATGGTTTAAACTATATATATTTTTGGGGTTCGTTATATTATTGTTTATTTTTCAGTTAAATTTTGTGGTTTTTTTTGTGTTTTTTTGTGTGATTTTTTTGTGTATTTTTTTTCAAATGAGTAAATTATATTCCCATTCTCATGGAATAATCTTAATGTGGAAACCAATATTAATTTTAGGTATTATTTCTTGGGTATCTTTAAATATAGTTTTTTTTCAGTCCAATCTTACGTTTTTTGTTGTTGTTTTGTAAAATTAAATTAATATACTCCCCATGTACTTCTCTGAACTATGGATCTTTCTTTAAGGTAAAAATCTGTTGAAACACTCTTTATTTACAAACAGTGAAATTTTATGTTCATTCATATGTTCCACCTTTTTCTTCAGTTTGGAGATGTTGGACAAAGTTGACCCCCCTACAGTGCCAGATGGGTATGGCCTATCTGTTGGTTTCTACTGTTTGGTTGAGGCAGTTAGGACTATTCAATTTTTGGTTGAAGGGGAGTATGGTAACAAATTAGAAAAGGCAAAAGAGAAAAAAGTAACTCAATCAGAAGAACAAGAGGAAAGTGGACAAGCAAAAAGTGGTATGTTTGTTGAAGATACTTTTTGTGTGAACAAATCATTGAAAATTATAATATTCTTTAATTTTTTGAATGCCTGTGGCAGTAACAATCTGTTTTGCCATCACTGTACAGTCAGGCCAGCAGTTAAAAGGTATAGGTTTTGTAATGGTATCAACTTGAAAGTTTATGTAAGTCTTTGGGATATTTGTAGGTAATATCCAAAAGTTAAAACTTAGGTATGGATTTTGACTGAATTATAGTCATTTGTGAAGTTAGAATGTAATGTAAAGAACTTTTTTTAGGTTTGCATGCACAATTTTTACAATCTATGGAAATTTTTAATTAAAGTTACACATAAGTCTTCATGATTGGAATCATATGTGGCTTTCTAGCATGTACTGTGACTGAGGTAGTTCCCTTTGTCTCTGTATTATGATATCCAGGCTCTTAATTTGACTGTCAAGCACTGAAGATTAGTCTAGTGTACAGCAGTAGAGGTAGCAATTGTTTAAAGAAGTACAGCGCGACTCAGCCCCTATGTAGAGCAATTGCCTCTATACAACAATAGTATTAATTCTCCCCAAAGTGAGACTTTACATTAAAGTTAAAACCTGTCTAGAGCAACACCTCTCCAGTGTCTATTCTAGGAGGGGTGATGGGGGGATTCACTCCCATTTTTGAGAAGTCCCTGCCCCCCTATTTTTTTCAGAGGCAGGGGACAGAAAGAAGGTAAAAGATCAACAAATTTAATAAATTCTCACTTTTCGATAAAAATCCCTCATGTTTTTCGAATCCTAGAATAGACACTGCCTCTCTGATCAACAACCAAAATCTGTATGTCTTCAAATTAGTGATCTCCTCTATTTAATTTTGCATCATTTCAGAAGAGGAGAAGAATTTATACGAAGAGCTAGTGAACTCATCTTGGTGCGGGATGCTCGCTGCACTAGCATTGTTACTGGATGCCAGGTATAAATCTCATAAATATATTCTAACTTTGGTTTATAAAGAATTTATTTTAGTTTGATTGTGTAGGAAGCTATATAAGCTTATAGACAAAAAAAAATTCGTTCCTGGAACCAACCAGTACTCAGTAATGAGTGTAAAGTTTCTTGCTCAAGGAAACAACGACTGGCCCCTGACGGGGTTTGAACCCATGTAGATCTCTTAGTAAAAAAAATCAACAAAAAAACAACAACATTGTAATGTTCCTGAAGTATTTTTTAGGAAGCAAAGTAATCTTAGTTGCAATAAAACAAATACTTTAAAAAAAAGACTGTGAAGGGAGGCAAACTGTACTCAAATGTGGCAGAAAAGATATTTAGTATCATAAGAGTTATTCTTCTTGTTGTAAAGAAAGAAATGAAATTAAATCAAAGAGTTTATGAAAATACAAGTAAATTTCTTTTTTTAGCACTGATGAAAGTGCTACAGCGTCTGTATTGAAGTGTATGGAAGCTTATATCAGTCTGTGTGGGAAGTTGGAAATGTCAACACCTAGAGACGCTTTCATCACTGCCCTTTGTAAAGCCTCCTTACCACCACATTATGCCCTGACAGTTCTTAATACACATGGAAATATGCCACAGAAAGGTTTGTATGGAAATATGCCACAGAATGTTTGTTTATATCCGCAAAAGTATGTCTAAGAAAAATACACAGACATATGCCACAGCAAAGTTTCTTTCTGGATATGTAATACACATGGAAATATGCCACAGAGTTAAACACAAAATATCCCATAGAAAGATTAGTTTGTAAAACACACATGGAAATATGCCAAAGAGAGGTTTGTTTATGTAATACACATGGAATATATGCGACAGAAATGTTTGTTAATAAAATACACACACAAAGAAAGGTATGCATGGAAATGTGCCAAATAAATGTTTGTTTTTATAATACACATAGAAAATATACCACATAAATGTTTGTTAATATAACACACACACAAATATGCCAAAGAAAAAACAGGATAATGCATGGAAATATGCCACATAAATGTTTATGTAATTCACACAAAAATACACATAACAATATCTGTCAATACACTTAGTACAAGCCAAAGAAAGTTTTATTTATATAAGATACACAAAGATGTGCCATAAAATGGTATGTTCATATTATACACACGAACATGGAAAGATTGGTTTCATTATACACACAAAATAAGATGTTTCATGAGGACTTCTGTTATTTGGAAGAAAGTTTGTAAGGTCAAGGTCACAGGTCAGTCTGTCCTTTAATCTTGATGGTTTTCTCTCAAGATGTTGCCAATGCCATTTCAGAACTTCATATACCAAAAACTACTATTTGAGTCAAAAGCCAGAGACAGGAAATAAAAATTTGATTTGTGGTGAGAAAAATTTATGTATCTGAAAAGTATCATTTCTGAATAGATGGGTGGGACAGTAGCTATCATATGCCAATGACTTCTCAAATATTGTCCAGCAATATTTGTTCGATCTTTTTATTTTTGTCGTCTGCTGTGAGACTTATGTCTGTCAATTAGCACTGTATTGTCTAGTGTTATGATAGGGTCTGTCTATCATGGTTGTGCCCAAGTCACCAATGTCTTGTTATGACTGACCTTGAGAATCCTTATGCATTCTCTCAAACCAAATAACCCTGCAGATTTTCATAAATGGACTTTTTGAGCTTCCATTTTTTTTAACTGTCCAGTATCATTTTAATAATATCAAAATCAAAATTTAAAGTCAGTCGGCCAATAGTATAGAGCAGTATGAGACTTCATGGATGTGTTGGCCAGTCTGGCTCTATACTGTTGGCAAAGGCTGAAAACTTTTCAGTTCTAGCAGGTTAAAAATAATCTTAAACTGCTAAAACTGAAAGTCATTAGCCATTCCAACCAGTATAGAGCCAGGCTAGCCTGCACATCCCCTTGTAGTCTGATCAGGCTTTTGGCTGTTGAATTTTTTATATTACAAAAAAAAATGTTACGTATTTTCATATTGAAATCTTTCAAACTTGGAATGAACTGTTCCGAATTCAAAGCAGGGTAAATCCATTGCACAATTCAGCAAGTTAATATAGGTTAATTGACCAAGTTAATAAATAGGTTAAACTTTTGGCCTAACTTGGCGGGAATGCTAACCAAGATGGGAATTAAAAAAGAAAAACAAAAATGATTATCTCGGTTTGATAATAAATTAAGTGATGATGTTCATAACAATGATGATGATGATTATATTAATGATGATGTTGGTAATAATAATGATGGTGATGATGAGGAAGATGATAATAATGATAATTATAATGATGAAGATAATTATGATGATGTTGACAATGATGGCAATGATAATAATAATAATGATGATTATATTAATGATGATGTTGGTAATAATAATGATGGTGATGATGAGGAAGATGATAATAATGATAATTATAATGATGAAGATAATTATGATGATGATGGCAATGATAATGATGATGATGATAATGATGATGAAAGGTATCAAATGAGACATATATAAAAGTCTAAAAGAAAAAACTAAAATACTATTTTCATATGGCCTACAAAAAATAAAATAAAATAAGAAAGAAAACAAGATCAAATCAACAATTATAAAAGTAATCATAAGAGAGATATTACAGTAACACAGTGTTTACAATAAATTGAATTAACCTTTTTAAACCAAACCCATATTAAAACCAGGTGTCGTAGGTTAATTAAAGACTCTCTCAAAATGTCAGAGATGTAATTGGCCTTCCTATTAATATTGTAAGAAAAATCAAGGAAAAATTGATGGATGAATCAAGTAAACATGATAAAAAAATGATTAATTTGTGAGTGCAAAAAGGTCATATTCATCATAAAACCATAGATCTATTTTTTATTAATTGAGTTCATATGTTAAATCAGTGAAATTCAAAAGAAAGCTATGTCTACAGGCATATGTATATAAATGTATTTTTTATCTTTGTTTAAAATTCATTTCATATATATTTTTTCTTCCTTTTTTTATAAGAATTTATTAACAAAATAATAAGAATTTGAAAGATTTATTGAAATTGATCCCTTAGTGGTATGAAAATTGAGAAGAAGTTGGGAAGAAATGTCTTCAAATATTGTGAAATGATGTTATCCATTCTTCAAATTCAAGAAACCTCTTGTTCCTGAACACTTGTAGTACAAAAAAAACATCCACCAAAAGCTTAAAATCACTTTTTATTTTTAATCCATTTTCCCCAATTTCAAGAAAAGTAAATTTTTTAATTGCATTTTTCAATTTTATTCAACAGACAATGATATTACTGTTTTTTGTGACATGAAGGTAAACACATTATGATTTGTTTCGGTTTGATATTGATTGAATAAAAGCAGAGAAAGGTTTTTGACAGAAAGTTGAGAATTTCTGATAAATTGGCTTCCAATATAAGACCGCACATTTCAAACTTTTCCTTTAAATGTACAGTAAAACCTTCTTTTATTAAGACCACCAGTGGGACTGGACCAGAGTGGTCTTAATACTGGGATGGTTTTAAGTAAGGTCTCTTCTGTACTTGCATAATCATACTTGGGTGTTTAATCACCTATTCCCTTAAATGTATATAAAAAAACCCTCTTTTAAGACCACCAATGGGACTGGACCAAAGTGGTTTTAATGGCAGAGTGGTCTTAATAATTGGATGGTCTTAAGTAGGGTCTAGACTGTACTTGCAAACATGACTTTGGTTTTAAATCACACCAGTTTAAAGTCAGGCCAGCCTGCTCATTTGTCAAAACTAGTAAGGAGTAATAAAATTCAAAAGTCAAAGTGGATAACTAATCCCAGGGTCTGGAAGGGCTGTGGTAACAATTTACTGGTGTATTTTTTACATTAATGTCCCACGCCTTTTCAAAGAAAAAAGGGGGATATAGAAATAGGCTCCGTCCGTCTGTCCGTCCGTCTGTCCGTCCGTCTGTCCGTCCGTCACACTTTCGTGTCCGGTCCATAACTTTGTCATTTATAAAAGGAATTTGAAATAACTTGGCACAAATGTTTGTTATAATAAGACGATGTGTCATGCGCAACAACCAGACCCCTACCTCCAGGGTCAAGGTTGCACTTGCTCATTCAAGGTTAACGATGTGTCATGCGCAACAACCAGACCCCTACCTATAGGGTCAAGGTCGCACTTGCTCATTCAAGGTCAACATTATCTATTTGAGGGTATATGTCGTGTCCGGTCCATAACTTTCTTATCTATGAAGGGATTTTGTAAATACTTACCACAATTGTTCACAATAATCAGACGATGTGTCATGCGCAAAAACCGGTCACCTACCTCCAAGGTCAAGGTCACACTTGGAGGTCAAATATTAACATAGTCTGTTAAAGGTTATATTTCATGTCCGGTCCATAACTTTGTCATTTATCAAAGGAATTTATAATAACTTGGCACAAATGTTTGTTATAATAAGACGATGTGTCATGCGCAACACCTGCATCCCTACCTCCAAGGTCAAGGTCACACTTAGAGGTCAAAAATTAACATAGTCTGTTATAGGGTATATTTTGTGTCGGATCTAGAACTTCTTCATAGTTCAAGGGATTTTGAAATAACTTGGCACAAATAGTCACAATAATAAGACGATATGTCAAGTACAACACCTGCACCCCTACCTCCAAGGTCAAGGTCACACTGAGAGGACACATGATAAATTTTTAAATTCCGTGTTTCATTTTATTTTTTTAACAAATTTATTGTTGCATTTGCAGATCTAGCATTGATAATAATTTTGGACTGAATGTCCTGAGATCCATACCTCAGTCTTTTGAAATAGCACAATTTTATGCTTCATATAAAACTTCCTGAGGCGGGGGACATTGGTAACTCTGTTACAAATTCTTGTTTGTTAAAAGTGCTTTGGGTAAACATTCAAAATTACCTTGACATTATCCATCCTTCGTCCTTATTGCTTTGTACAAAAATAAGCAAAATAATCAAGGCGTCCATATCAGTTCTATCATTGAATTTTTATTTTACTCTGCAATTAGGTGTACGCATAAACTTGCGTTATTTACTAACCTAATCCCCCGTATCGAAGACTTCATCACATGGAAGGAATATATTTTTTTACAAACTCTCAGACTTTAATGTGGAAAATTTAATTTCTTTGGGATATGATGGTATTGTATAAAACATTAAAGTGTGTTGATGTGAAAAAAACGAGGATAACACCATTTTTACCTCTTTATTTCACCCTTTTGGTGCATAATTGTGTACCAGTACATGTTTTTGATAAAAACAGCTTTTTTATAACATCAATTATTTTGTATCCTAATATAATACACCCATTAATCTAATTTTATTATTTTTGACAAAAAATATAGTTTAAATTAAGTTGTAATTCCCTAGTGTTTTGTCCAATGAAATGCCTGCATTTCTTGATTTAATAATATGTTTGTGTTTTTGGTCTCAGAAGTGATTGTATCTGGATAATGTATCATTGTCTCATCTTTGTCAGTAACATAGAGAACATACGGAGATGAAAACCACCTTGAATCTAAAAAAACATACATGTATTTATTAAGTGCTTCCTCTTATGTGTTCAACTTCTGTATAGACATTGTATGAAAGAACAAATTTGACTTATATTTGTGATTGAAGCATATTTTTCTTCAGGAATATTCTCATTTATGTCCTGCTACACATTTATGGCCATTCAAGTCTTGCTCCATATAAGTATTGACATTCATGTTGTGCCACACAAATATTGACATTCAGGTTTATGTTTCACAAGTACTGATATTCATGTTTTGCTAATCAAATATAGACATTCAGGTTTTCTATATCAAAGTAATTCATGTTTTACTCCACAATTATTGACATTTATGTTTTGCTCCACAAATATTGGTATTCATGTTTTACTCCACAAATATTGACATTCATGTTATACTTCACAAATATAGACATTCATGTTTTTCTCCACAAATATTGACATTTATGTTTTGCTCCACAAATATTGACATTCATGTTATACTTCACAAAAATTGACATTCATGTTTTACTCCACAAATATAGACATTCATGTTATACTTCACAAATATAGACATTCATGTTATACTTCACAAATATAGACATTCATGTTTTACTCCACAAATATTGACATTCATGTTTTGCTCCACAAATAATGACAATCATGTTTTTCTCCACAAATTGACATTCATGTTATACTTCACAAAAATTGACATTTATGTTTTGCTCCACAAATATTGACATTCATATTTGATCTACAAATTATATTGACATTAGTATCTTTCTCCACAAACATTGCATGTCAGGTTTTGGCTTCATAAATATCGACATTTAATATGTTTTGCTCATCAAATATTCATATTCATGTTTTGCTTTAGGAGTATTGATTGATAAACATTTAAGCTACACAAATATATGTGTTTGCCATTTAGTGACTTATGGTTTCATAACATCTTCATCATTAATAATGAAAACCAAACAAAATTAATCTGCTTATTTCACAGCAAGAATATAATTATTTACACAGAAAAAGATTAAAAAAAATTAATTACTGATTGAAGTGGGTGGTATACTTAAAACAATGACATTAAAAGAAGCTTATGATAAGTCTGGTATACATTAGTTCTATGAATATAATTTTCAGATTATAAAATAATCTTGTTTACCAAAGAACATAATGATAAAATTTGAATAATACTTTGTCCTAGCTCAGTGTGTTTCTGAAAATATAGCTGAGCGTGTTTTAAAAATACAAAATGATAATTTTAAAATTAATGTTTGCTATTTCAACATTTTTGCTTATGGACACCTAGATTTTGGGAAACTACTCATTGAAGGTCTCTGAGGCCAAATGGTCACAGACTTCAAGTCACTTGCCCCTCACCTCTGTGGGTGCAAATCCTATCAGAAACTGTCAGAAAGCTATCCAACTAGCATACAGAAGTTTGGTGGTTCTACTTGGGTACCCACTCATGCTTAGAATTATAAAATAATACACAGAGGAGCACCTGAAATCTTCCTTCATCAGTAAAGCTGAAAAGTGGCCATATTATTTTTACAGCATTAATGTGACTTAAAATCCAACAGAACAACAAACAAAAAACCCATTTGAACTTGATTTGAATGAGTGGCTAGGGAGGGAAGGTTACGTTAGATTGTAAAGCCTAAAGAGCTATCTGTCTGTATAGTCTATGTACTATTTCAGTCATTTAATAAGCACTTGCATATTTTGCACCTTTGGTATGCTTACATGATAGCTACTTCATATAAAAAAAGTTTTGAAAGTTTTTGGCCGGATTTGACTAATTGATGCCCGTTTAGTAAAGTATTAAATTTGTTTTCAGGACACATAAGATCTCCCAGTCAGGATTTACAGTCTACCCATTTAGAGGCTAATGAAAGATCCCAGGTGGTTGCAGTAGGGACACCATTGCCCACAGCAGCTCTTCCTGTAGGGGCACACCAGGGGCCAGTTATGGTAAGTTCAAGTAATTATTACTAATAGTAAAGATAAAGTCTTGAGTGTGTATTACCCTATCCCTGCTTTATTTCTTAAATGGACTTGTCCAGCTTCCATATTTGGAATTGTCCATTATCAATTTTATTGAGATCAAGATGACAATATAAAATATAAAGTTTGTCAACCAACTGTAAGCAGACTGCATGGATATGCAGGTTTGTCAGCTCTTGACTGGTGGTTAAGGCTAAGCACTTGATACCAGCAGTGTAAGTGTAAATACTGTACAGAATACTGAATTTTGCTATTCCTTGACAAAACCAGTGCAGAGTGATCAGTTTTGCTATTCATGTGTGATACCTGTACACAGTTGTCAATTTTGCTATTCATGTGCAATACCTGTACAGAATAATCAATTTTGCTATTCATGAGCAATACCTGTACTGAATGGTCAATTTTGCTATTCCTGTGCAATGCCTTTATAGAGTGGTCAATTTTGCTATTCCTGTGCAATACCTTTCGTAAATATATTGCTATTCTATTGTTTATTAAAACTTTTAATCTTTGGTATAATTACATTGTGATTAAACATGGAAACATAAAAACTTGCTGTTTATGGTAAATACAGGATATTAAAGATCTTTCGATCAAATATCAGTACTTATTTTCATGGAGTGGTATGAAACTAAATATTTTAGTAAGTGGGTGTAGAACCGCCTCCGTGGTTGATGACTTCTAATCCAGTTACCTCTCTGGCGTGGGTTCGATCCCCGTCAGATGCTTTGGTAGTTTAGTGTGGGGGAAGGTAGTCTAGTACTGGTGTAACTCTCCAGGATGATGGTTAAGAAACTTCCCGCCTATATGACTGAAATACTGTTGGGAAAAGGCGTAAAATGAAACAAACAAACAAAGTGGGTGTAGACTTCCCCTTAAAATTTTGGGTATTGGCAGAATTTAGAAGAAAGAAGTCTGGCAAGACTCAAGTAAAAATACAGAAAATATGTGCAGTGAAAAATAAATTTTTATAGTGAAAAATAATTAATACGTAAAATGAAAATACACATTTTATTTCATCAATATTTCTCAATATTTCATTTATAAGTATATAATAAATTGTTTTTTCTAGCTCTAAAACTTAATATTGTACTATCACACTTTTTCAGGGACACGAAATATGATGAATTATCTACTTGCCTGTATGCTTGATGACAATATACATGCTCTCTTTTATAATGTTAAATGTATGGCTGTCAAAGTTTAAATGTTTGTCATGAAAGTTATTGCATGCAGTTAAAATGTGCATACATCTCTTTTTAGTACAGAAATGTTTAAATTGTTACAATGCAGAAAATGCTTTTAAATTTAAAATCAATTTGATGTTTTGAATAACTGAGTTTGTATTGATGTACATTAAGATTTTGATGAAAATGCTCTTACGTTGTTGCAAAAAAACTTTGAAAGAAAACTGGAGTTGTCAGTTATTTGTTTACAAAAAATGTGACTATATTTATTTCATATAAGATATTTTGTGACTAGGAATTTTATCTTCATTTTGAAAATGCCAAAGGGTTTTTACTGAGGTCTAGAAGCCTAAAAACATAAAATTTTAAAGTATTTCATAGTTCATGAGACTTATAAAAGAGAAAACTATGAAAAAGATAATAAAGAAATATACTGAGAATTCAATTGAAAATCAATATATTAAGTGAGGTTCGTAGCTCAAGTGAAGTTAAAAGCAATCAAAAAAAATTCTTATTCTGAAATCTGATAATTGATAGCTTATATGATCCATGCATGAATCTGCTTCCTGTACCTGCTACTGTTTCCTTCAGTACTTGGTAGATCCACAAATAAGCTATAAACTTTGTTCACTATTATGCTTTAAAATAGTAAATGATAAACTTTGTTCACTATTATGCTTTAAAATAGTTAATGTTTTAAACTAATTCTTGCATAAAACCTGCATATATGCGCAGAAAAAAAACATGCATTAGTGAATGAAATAACCAGAGCACATGCCATTTTGCATGTATTTTAATATGTGTGACTCAGGGCACCATGCAGAATTAGGTTATTGCAATGACAGCCCCTGTAGTTTCAGTATCAAAACATAACCATCAAATGACATCGTACAAAGGTATGAAGCCAGTTTCTTTATATGAAAAACAAAGAAACAAGAACACAGAATAACAGAATCAAACATATACTTTTATCCTAGGATAGCATTAATGAACCCTGCATTAACATCTGCAGAAGTCCCCAGTCTTGTTCAGCTTTCACACCGCCAACTCAGGCTTTAAATTCTTCTACAGAATGTTCATGTACTAAAAAAGGAGCATAAGCTTCTTATTGGTAAACAGATTTCTTGATGTACCATAAAAGTGCAGAATTATTTTACAGTTGACTGCGAAGAACATTCAGTGTATGAGGTCATTACTGGCTGTTGCTCATTGTCATGGGGGTGTTCTTGGAACAGCCTGGCATCTCGTTTTAACCACTCTACAGGTAAATTGCCTTTTGAATATTTGTACTCCTTTGATTACCAATGGTATGCCTAAATTTGTCAGACTTTTGAAATAAGGTGCTCAATGGAAGAGACGACAAGTGTCTTTTTTCTAACTAAATGAAAAGACCAAAGATTACTTACAAACAGATATCTGATATCGGATAAAAAAGTGCTCAAACACCTTGTATCCATCAATTGCTGAAAGTATTGGTCATGGAACTTTGGAATTGAACCAACACAATGGAACACCTTTATCTACTTTTATGTTTACTCACTTGGGCACTTAGTGCCCACTTGGAGCTCTTGTTAATACACATAGACTCATAGAGATGGATTTTAAAACTATTTTACATTTTTTGTGTGTTCTAAAGTACTAAAGGCACTTTTGGACCTCTTTTTTATACTTATATACAGAGATTGTTTATTTCAAAGACAAAAGTTTTGATAGTCAAATGTATAGTTATTGTGTTATAAACTCGTACATACTGAGAAATGAGTTGTTTCGGCATATAATACCTTGGGTATTATCTTGAAATATAATCCATGACATGATTGCAATTGTAAGGTGAAAAAGGTGACCAAGTGGTTCTGGAGTCCATCTCCAAGCGTTAAGGAGTTTCATCATATGACATTATACTGGTCTTCAGATTATAAAAACCTTATGTTGTGGTCAGTCTCAGATCTCAGTGTTTGCTTGGTCAGTACACATTCTGTGCCAGTTTTTGACCAATCAAAGACATGAAATTTGAGTTAGAGAATAAAAATTTCTTTTAAACCGTGGACACTTGTCAGTCCGAGGAATTGAACTTGAGATAGGTTGAAATAAGCTTCAAGGTTTTTTCATCATTGAGCTTAAAAAATAATTTAGATAACTATCCATTATAATGCCTTGCAATATCTTAAGAGGTAGTAGTTGATGAATACTTTTGTCCTGAATTTTTTTATTTCAGCATCTTGTATGGATCCTGGGTTTGAAACCATCCAGTGGTGGCAGTCTGAAGGCCAGTCAGCCGGACTCGACAGGTGCTGTCATAACAACAGCAGTAATGGCTGACCTTCCTGTTCTCTCATCCATGCTGTCGAGACTGTTCGAGAGTTCACAGTGAGTACACACAAATACGATCAGACAAACTAATTATGTCCTGGTGGCAACTGTATTGTAGATGCTTCTTTATTCATCCGCATTTACTATGGTGTTTTTGTTGAGGCAGTAGGAAACATAGTTTGTCCGCAAACCTCGGATTGGATTAGCCTTATGATGTATTTACTACGCCTTACATATATTCAGGAATCTTATGCTAAGTTTTAGGCAAATATTTGGACACTGATAAAAATGCATTAATGAAAGCAGAAAGAGATGGTTTTAGGCAAATATTTGGAAACTTATAAAAATGCAATAATGAAAGTGGAAAAGATGATAAAGAAAATTAGTATACTAAGAATTAAACTAAAAATCTGTTTTTGTGCAATTCTTATCCTGATTTGAGTTAAAAGCGTAAAAATGATTTTCATTTTTGTGTCCATTTGCACCATAAAAATTATTATACAGAAAAAATGGACAGAGAGAATGAACTAAAATTTTTCCAACAAGTTACTGGCCCAGCTCAACATCTTATCCCACACAAATCTTGAAAAAAATATTTCCAGTCCTATTATGTCAAAAAATTTCAGTGCAGTAGGGCAAATTGACTGTCTTAGTTTAACAAGCAGGGTACAGTATTAAGATATTTAATATGAGTAATGATGTAATAAATTCATTTGTATGGAGATTAAAGTTTCGAAACGGTTCAGACAACGTCATTTATTAATGATCCTATAAATAAGCACTTTTTTCTTAATTCGACAACTATCCCTTGGGATGGTGAAGACATTTTCTCTTATACTTCAGGGTATGTGAGTCTCTCACGGTATTAAAATCTTTACCATACCTTACTAATCTATGACAGGAGAAAAATATATAAATAATGTAAATATTTATCATGACTATATAAGAAATACAAGGTCATCATTGAAAAAATTGTTTGTTTACCGCTTCCAACCTTTTCTTTGTGTTAAATTGTAAAAATTTTGTTCTGAAGGGGAAAAAAACATACAGGTTGTGTTGGTAATTAAGTAAATTCTTTTGTCTGTTCAAATTGCAATCCTGATGAAAAGAAGTAATAAATAAATTTGTTTTTAAAGCATTTATTTCTCGATGATAAATATATTTTGTCATAGTTTAATTTTAAGATATGATATTGGTTAATTTCCAAGAGTGATATTGATTAATTGATAATGACGACATTTTGTGTGTACACTGTAATTCATGAAAAACATGCTGATTATGTGCTTTTCTAGAATTGCAGAAAGAAGAAGAAAATTTTGCTTATCTTGCCAAATGAAATTTTTTGAAAGCGAAATTATTTTTTCAATCGAAGTGGGAAACAAACAATAAGTTAATTCAAACCCAATCCTTCTACAGCATTTCTTCACGGGATTATTTCAAATGTTTCCATAGCAACACTGTCTTAACTGGTTCTTTTAATGTTATTGAGATACACCAGTGTAGCATTAAAAATGCAAAGTTTACCATTATCTTTAAGTTCCACATGGCCCTGGAGAGAGCTTCAAAAAGACATATCAAAAGAGAAATGTGATATTAATACTTTTTATTAAGATCCATTTTACTTTTGTGTAGTCCCAAATTGCCATAATTTTCTCAGATTTTTTGTTTTATTTTAAATTTATTGTATCGTGTGACGCATTTTTCTTTATGATAAGGAGTAAAACATCGCATTGACAAGTTTACAGACAAGTTTGTAGAGTTAACATCATCAGTAGGGGAATTAAAGTGATTCTATTACACAATGTAGCTTTTGTCCCGCGAAATAACTTTTTTCTTTTTCTGAGAAATTTATTTAATTTTAAAATGGATAGTGCATCAAATGAAAAGGACTAGTCAGTGTTCTGTAAAGAAAAACATACAAATGTTACAGTCTGACGATTTCCTGTTCTGTTTATTGCTTTAATGCAATTTTGTCTCGTATTTTATCACCAATTAGAGCGCTGGTGCAGAGCGTAATGGAGTTACACATATTGTCGCGTGAAATTCCGCTAATGGTCGATTCCATGCAACATGCTGATTGAGTGGTCCTTTGGCACTCATTTTTTAGCCTGTTTAAGTACTTGAACTAATTTTCTCCTACTGTCATCTTGGTGACGGAGTATTGCGGCTAATGGAACTACTTTAATTTGTTTTCCGTGGAATTTTAATTTACTTGTATCAAAATTTATTCTTCTGTTGAAAATTGAAATAGAAAAGTAAGATTATAGTTTTTTGTGTGTGTTTTCTCAGCAACAAATGCACTTTAATGATAAGTTTAGAAAGGGTATGGGCCATTAACTGGCTGAATTTCTTAAATTGCCTTGACCAGCTTTTAATTTTGAGGATATCTAGCTGAAAAATTTAAAAATAAGGAAGCCAACAGCATACATCTAGTCAGTCTGCATGCAATGGTTATGCATCTGAAATTCTCTTTTTATTAAAATCATCATCAATTGTTTTTGTATTTTTTTTTGCAACTTACTATTTCTCACTGTCATAACCCCATTGCCTAATTGCACCTACCAATAATAAAACCCCATCTGTAATCGCACTTACCATTATTCCAACACCATATCAAATTTTGCTGTCCCTATGCTTTAATGCTCCTTCATTCATGCTGTTAATCAATCATAACTTTTTATTTTCTTTCAGGTATTTAGATGATGTTGCATTACATCACCTTATTGATGCCTTGTGTAAGCTGTCAGCAGAATCTATGGACCTTGCTTATTCAAATAGGGTAAGTGTCCGCTGTTTCAATAATGTTGGTGTCGCTTAAAAAAAGATGAGGAAAAAGGTTTGGAAAAGAAGAGATGTTCATGTTTCAAAGTAACAGAATAATGCATGCGTCAGGCTGATGGTGGGTGACTTCCGAAAATCAGCAACAATGTAATGTAATGATAGGGGGTCATAAATGAAATTTTTACCATCACCAGCCATATGTGAAATTCTACATGTCAGCCAGTCTCTGTCAGATATTTATTCGTACAAAACGTGACTTACTTTTGAGTGAGAGAAATGTATTTCATTATTTGACAATATCGTGTTTATTTTACATTGTTTGGCAATTTTTTTCGTTCTTTCCCCAAGTGAATGACTGAAATGAGAAAGAGAGTGATTTAAGATAATGTAGGTTCAGGTTTGCTGGTATCAGCCGAGATCACTATGAAATTGATTACTTATTGAGATTCTACGAGATTCTACGTTAGATTGTGTATACATAGGAAACGTTTTAATCAGTGAGAAATGTGCCGAGAAGTGATCGTACGTGAAAAACATGATAAAATGTCTGGTATAGCTAATTCCTTTATTGCCCTAAAACAATTGTAATGTAATAACTTCCATTATAAGAAGTCTAGACGTATCAGAATTTAAGCCTTATTCATTTATAGTATGCCTTGTTCTAGGCTACGTATCACTCATATGTCTTCTTGTATCAAAATTCCGGTTTATTTCAATAAATAATCACCTCAAGCTAGTGTGTATACCAAATTTTCTTCTCAATAAATGTCTTATTATTTTTTGCCTCTTTTAGAACTAATTCAATAAAATGTCACCTTTTACTGCAAATTTTATTAATGTATATATAACATCATTTATATTGAATTTTGTCTAAGGCTAAACTGTGTCAGTTTGGACTTGTAATTGTCCTTTTTTTTGTGGACATAATGAGACCTCAATATTTTTATTGTATCAAAATTTTTACTGTTAAGAAAGTTCAATTAAATTTATGATTCTTAAACCATTTGTAATTATGCAAGTACCTTGAAAAGTTTTGATTATGCTTGTACCTGGTGTAAGTTTTACTTATGCAAGTATCTGGTATAAGTTTTGATTATGCCAGTACCTGGTGTAAATTTAATTTATGCAAGGACCTAGTAAAAGTTTGGAATATGTCAGTAAATGGGGTATGTTTTATTTATGCACATACCTTGTGTAAGATTTAGATATACATAATTTCCTTTCAAGTACCTGATCTACAATGTAAGCTATGAACATGCAAGTATCTATCTAAGTTGTAATTGTATGTAACTATTTTATCTAAGTTTTAATTATGAAAAACAAAAGTGTAAGATTTGATTGTGTTAATATTAGTTATTGATTGACCTAGTCTTATATTTACTTATAGTAACAAGTACCTGTATGACTGTTTATTTAAGAGTTATTAGTCTAAGATGTTTAGCTATGCAAGTTGTCTTAAATTTTTGACTGTATGCATGTATCTCATTTAATCAAGCAACCAGTCTAAGTTTTGGTTGATGCTTGTAGTTTTAAGCTTATGGATGACCTTTTAAGTTATCTTTATGACTGATTTGCAAAAGCTTTATGTATTTGTATTTTACAGAAGAATGTTCATTAACCTTGGATACAGGCTTTCTGTTACTTAATCTTTTCTTGTCACATGTCATTTATGTTGCTGGGCTTTACTTTTTAAATGCCAGTAAGAAATATGTGTATGATAACAAATATTTCATTAAATCAGAGTCCATGGCTGTGTGGTTAAGGTCACTGACTCCAAACCACTTGCCCCTCACCAATGTAGGTTTAAATCCTGTTTAAATATTTATCATGTCATTACATTGATTTCTGTTGATAAAGTGCATGCCTGATAAACCTAGCTTTATCAGTCACCCCAAGCTTTATCAGACACCTCATCAAAAATATGCGAAATTTGAGAAATGAAATAAAAAGAATGGAATATATTTTCCTGCTACTGGGTTGGAAATATTTAACTGATAAACTTTGAATCTAATAGAAATTTTGAATATGAACGCGTCACTTACAATTAACTAAAACATTCGGGACTATTTCTTTTTGATTTGACATTTCACATATTATTGCGCGCCATCTGAAAAACGAGAGGTTCTGGATAGGGTTTTTTGCTTCAATTAAAATAAAAAAAATCAAAAACAATGAAAATTGAAAACATGATAAATATGAACCTTAAACAAGTGTCAAATATTATAAAATTTATCAGGCTCGGCACGAAAAAAAATGAAGAGCTCGGCAGAGCCTCGCCCTTCTTTTTTTTTCTTAGCCTTGCCTGATAAATTTTATAATATCAGACACTAGCATGGTATTCTCTATTTATCACTCTTTCATGGGAGCAAGCTTGCAGAAGGTAGTGGATGGTTCTGGTCAGGGGCATGCTTATGCTTAAAGGTTCTGTGCAGGGGCATGCTTATGCTTAAAGGTTCTGCTCAGGGGCATGCTTAAATGCTTGAATCTTCTTATCAGGGGCATGCTTATGCTTGGATCTTCTACCCAGGGGCATGCTTATGCTTGGATCTTCTACTCAGGGGCATGCTCATGCTTTGAGGTTCTACTCATGGGTATGCTCATGCTTTGAGGTTCTGCTCAGGGGCATGCTCATGCTTAAAGGCTCTGCTCAGGGGCATTAGCATGTTTGAAATCATTCAAGACACCCATGGACTTGCACTGGAAGATCTTTCTACTCCTGTAGAGCTAGAAAGTCGTATCTATAATAGAAAGATGGATTAAAATAAAGTTAAATTTTACCAGTAGTTGTCTATAATTGTGTGCAAAATTGGATAGATTATAGCTTGTTACTATCCAATTTTGTAGATAATTTCTATTTCCTATAAATATTTTTTGTCACAATTTAAAACAGTTGTCAAATCTTGTTGAATTCTTTTACCACTTAAAAAAAAATGTATCTTCAAATTGAAATAAAAATCTGCAGATTTCATGTCTTTGACAATTAGATAAGTGGCGGTCTCTGGAGAAATTTATCTGCAAATAGTTTCATAATATCTAATTTAACATTAACAAACTAAAGTTTGAAACCCCCATAGTTCTGCGGAGAATAGCGAAATTATATTCTGTATACAATGCCAATGCATAGTGTAATATCTAAAAGAACATTTTATCAGCGTTCGTATTTTATTGTCAATTATTGTACGTAAAAGGATATCTCATAAACAGTGTTTATGTAACGCTTATCTCCCTTGACTAACGATGTAAGTGGGGGCCAATATTGCCGTTCGAAACATTACCGATAATTACCTTGTAAACCATTATTGCTTTTTTGTGGAATTTATATAGTGCCGATCATTTACCGACCCTCATAAATTGGTGTATAATTCAACACTAATTGGGAAAAGTACTGTAAGCCTTTTTGATTGGTATCCCGATTGTGTAATTATACGTTATTATTTTCCGAGTAACAAGAAATTAAGAGTTTGTTATTTCTGCCTTAGATGGTTATCGTACGTAACCCGATACAATTATTGGTAAAAATGGTTATATTGTCGATGCTAGATAAAGTTTCTTCTTGTTAAAGTTGAATTCGTACCAAACCATTTATATGTACTGTGAAATTCATTACACTATGTCTCAAGGCAGCAGTAAAAGTGGTGTAGTAATTCCAATTTTTATTTTTTCTATAGTACTGACATTTTTTATCATTGTTAAAGATTTACTTTGTTTAACAGGTACTTGGTTGTATTCTTCTTAATAGACTTATTCAAAAGATTTAGAAGTTAGTTATCATAGCTAGTAGTATAGTGTTGTCAAATTGCATGTGATACATTTCAGTTATTTTTTCTTTTGATAGTAACTGGACCGTTAACAGGTTTTCCTTGAGAAAAAGACACAATCCTGCATTTTCACTTTAAGATTTAATTTACATTAAGTTTTTTCTTCTCCTGTTGCAAAAATACCATGTTTTCTCCTCAAGTTTATGAAAAGGGTCAAATTGCATGCAGTACATAAATTAGGGACCTACTTGTGACAAAAATACCATGTTTTCTCCCCAAGTTTATGAAATGGGTCAAATTGCATGCAGTACATGTACAGGACCCACTTTAAAACCTGTGACAAAATCCCTTAGTATATTATGAACCTAATTCTGACAACAAGCCCAAAGTAGATTGGCTGGAAAATCTCTTGTAAATCCTTAACTTGTTCTGGATGGAAATTTCAAAAAATGCATAGAAATGGAAATTGTCTGTACTGTTACAATGTTAAGCAGTCTGGGCAGTTCTCAATTTCAAAACCTCATAACTAGAATTGAGACAGATAAATTTTAGCAGTCCTATTAAAAAAAAAAGTGCCCACTCAGGGGATAATAACACATTTTGTCAGCCCACCTGAAAATTATTATATATCATTTTATGGCCTGCTGACATAATAATATGTTAAAAAGGAACATCTTGTATGTAAAGTATAAAATATTCAGTTAAAATCTTCAGTATTTTCTGGCAAAATGAATAAAAACAATATTGTCCGGTTTGGCCTTGACCTGTTTACCTGCTCAATTTCTGAATTGGACTTGTCGAGCTTCCAGTTTTAGAACTGTCCATTATCTTTTTTTGGGGAGATCAGGATGAAAAGTGAAAAGTTAGTCATTTAACAGAAAATGAGCCAGGTCACAATACTGGTGACAAAGGTTAAGAGTTTTTGTTGAATAGTAGATGAATGTTACTTTTTGCCCCAATAAATGTCTAGGTGTTTAGTCATTGCTTAAAATCTGGCATGTAAGGACTGTTGCATATAAAATATTTGTGTGAAATTTGTATGTAATTTATGATTGTGTGCATGATTACACAAAATCTTTGCTGCAGATGTTACATAAATATAATGAACATTTCTATGTTATGCATGATTGGGCATACAGAATGTTTCGTTTGGATTAATGTTTGATACAAATGTCTTCTACCTAAATAATGCACCAACTCTCATTATCTCAGAGCAACCAAGAGTAAGTCGAAAAGACAT